GCTGAAATCCACCGGGGGTGATTTTATGTGACAACACTCAGTTGATTCGGGCGACTGCTGCTTTGACTGCAACTGTGACTGCTGCTTTGACTGCAACTGTGACTGCTGCTTTGACTGCAACTGTGACTGCTGCTTTGACTGCAACTGTGACTGCAACTGTGACTGCTGCTTTGACTGCAACTGTGACTGCTGCTTTGACTGCAACTGTGACTGCTGCTTTGCGGAGTAGTTAATTGTTCCATTTATTTTCTTTTTTGTTTGGGTTACGTGAATTGTTTTCTTTTTCTGTTTTGTGTTGTAAATTTTTGGTTTAATCCTCTTGTAAACCTTTTTTTTGTCATCCTTCCCAGCGGCTGTAGGCTGGTGGTGGCGCCGGTGGTGTGGGTGGTGGTGGTCTTCTTCGTGTGTCGTGTCCCATTGGATTGTTGTGCTATCACTGGGTGAACTCTGGTTTGGTTTTCTCTAAGTTTGTTCTATTCATTTTCCTTCCCCTTCACCGGCGCTTCTCACCATTAGGCCTTAGCGATTAGTTTTCTTTTCTTATTTTGTGAGGAATGTTAGATTTTACGGGAATGTGTATTTATTGAATAAAAATGTTTTTGTAACCTGGGAACCACGAGCCCTTGCCTGTAACGAATCCGCGTGCTTTAAAAGGTCTTGGGCCTATCCCAAGTGGCGTTGCCGGTAGAATAGGGAACCATTTCGCCACAGTAGCAAGCTGGGGCCTTCGCACACGGGTTCAGAATCATCCAGAGGGCGTGGTCTTGGGCAGTTACGCCTTCCTCCTCTCCTGTTTTCGTTAAAGTCTGCGTTTGAGTCCTGCCTTCCTCCCCAACCCTGACACAGCAAATCCAAAGAAGAGATTTTAGTGATTCTCAAATGGTGGGTCACGGACCGGTTTTTAATGGGTCGAGGGCCTTTGCCTGGGAAAATCAAAGTTGAATTAGAACTAACAGCTGGCGTTTTTTTTTTTTTTTATTAAACTTGTTTTTGTGTTGGCATACGTATTCTGTCTCCATACTATCTCTGGTTCAAACTGCACCATATTTTCATTAAATAAATTTGAGAAGTTGAATATTTCTCAATTTGGGTCGCGGCTTGTCATTAAGGGGTGATGGTGGGTTCCGGAGCCAGACCAGTTGAGAACTACTGGTCTAGAGATCAGGTCTCTCCAACAAACCCCACTGTTACCGTATACTTTTAGACAGCAGTAGCAGTTGTTTACCAACTCACAGACATCACAATTGAATGGAGCACACAACCTGTGGTTGCTAATAAATTATGTTAACGCTACGCTGTGCAAAAGACACAGGAACAAAACAATGAATTAATTTACATTTTATTTGAGAACTCTTAACCAGGGATTCCTCATGGTGGATGTTACCTCACAGGCCTTAGTTATAAGTAATGGAGTGTGATGTGCGTGTGTCTATAGCCAATAGAAACAGGCACTTACATATCCTTTGAATAAACTGAGGTGCACCTCCACTCTCCTCCTTACGTCCTTTTATTCGTCCTTCCATGCCTCTCAAGACCTTTTCCTCCACTCACTGCTCTCTACTATTCTGCGCTCCTTTTCCCCCTCTATTTCCCTCCGGCTTCTCATTGAGACTGGCATTGAAGTAGGATCCTGTTAGCTACAGCCCACCTGTTTTTCCACTCGTGCACCTACGTCAGAGCACATCTCACCTTTCAAGTCTTCCTTTGTGGTACTTGAGTGCACATTAATATGAATACACATCTTACTATTCCACATCCAAAGAGTTCTGCCTCCCACTCAGATGGGAACGGGATAAAGCTGTACATTGCATCCAGGAAAGACAAGTATCTGTAGTATGTAGTCAAAAATTTGAAAGAAACAAAGGGAAGAAATCTGGAGTTGAGTTTGTAACATTTTTATTACGCTAATAAAATGAGATTTTTACCTTTTTATGAATACAACAAATTGTACATGTGTAGTTTTGCTGATAGAAATAGAGTGACAGGTATTCCTCTTTATTGGTGCTGACAAAGTTCTTCAAGCTAAGTAGTATTGGAGACAAATGAAATAGTATTTGAAAGATACAGGTTAACAGATCCTATGTATGTTTTTAAGTATACATATGATCTGTTGTAATGTAAAACTGCAAAACCAGAATTGAATTTCTAGTTTTTTTTCTTTCTATAAATGTGTCTTTAAATAAGTGTAATATTAATGGTTGGATACTTGACTTCATGTGTATCATACAAATCCATTCACCACATTTGTAGCGTGTAGCAGTGTGTGTTGCGATCATGTGGATGTTCAGCATTCATATCTCTGTTTACACACCCTATTCTCACCAGTTAGCATATTGTTGTAATAACTTCTGTATGTAGAGAACAATTGAGTCTCAAATCAATAATGTTCAATTGAATAATACCTCAACAACAATTAGATTTTCAGCATGGCATAGAAATAATTACATACAAAATTAATATTGAAAATAACACATGTTCTCCTGTTATTTCTAATAAAGTAAAGACTCAACAAAAAAAATATATATATATACAGTATATAACAGTAAATGTACTGAGCACTACATTTTAGAAAAGATATTCAGGCGTAAAAGGATATCAATCAAAAAAGCCCCAATGTTATCTTTCTGATTTTCTAAAATATATTCGTTTGATATGATATTTGATTCATTTTGGACTCTTAGATTTTTTTTCTGTATTATCTATCAATTGTAGGTCCAGGGTTCAGACACAATGGCATCTGGGTCCAACTTGAACCGCTATACGCATAGAAGTATAAATGGTGACGGAGCATTAGGTAGTAACGCTAGTTACTATTTGTCACAACATCGACAGCAAAGCAATGGTTTTGAGACCCAGAAAACAATAATTAAGATGTGACAGACTAGATTATAATTCTTGTAATTAACACACATGCTACACATACACACAAACACTGCTGGATGAATGAGAGCGAACAGCTGTGTTACTCAGCGGTTGAGAGAAAGTCGGTTTTCCACAGCCTCCATGACTCACCGATCATCAATCAAACCTTCGTATTAACAAATCCCCTTCAGTTCCACAAAGGTCAAAATGGTCAAAGTTATTGCACATTCATCTTTGCTGCTGTACCGACGTACAGCAGCAAAGATGCCGTGGTATACTGTACAGTATGTTCTGTGAATAAATATCAAGGGAGATGGAGGCACCTGCCTAATCAAGCCAGTGCTAGTCAAGTGCCCAATCACTGTAGGGGAATTATTTTCCTTCCAGGAGCTGGTTTGGGATGGCCCCCGTAATACAGTGAGAGCCTCAGTGTGTGTTGTATTCTTTGGTTGGCCTTTTCCAAACCTCACCATGGGCCTCTACCAGCGTGATCCCCACGCACCCATGGGCCATTACCTCTTCCGTCCCTCTTACCCGCCAGCTGCTCATTCATTACCAGTCGCCACCTGCAGTCAGTGATTGGCAGATTGTCCGAGCTGCCCTCGCCACCAATCCACCAGTCTTTCCTTAATGAGGAAAGACATATAAAAGGGTTGAGGTAAATAACCGAAGCACAGCTGCGCTGACCATCTGAAATGCCCTTTGTGTCTGTTGTTGATCGTTCGGTTTACAGTGAGACAAAAGACTCTGCCGGAACTGGTTATTATATAAAGCTGCAAATCCCGCCTATTAATATGACACCATGGAGCGTAATGACTGCATAGCTCTCTCGGTTTGCACTCTGGCACCAGCATGCCTTGTAGAACTCCGGTTTAAAAGAGAGGAAAAGACAAATTAGTTATTCTAAAGTTCTCGTCAGATAAATATCTAGAATATTCATCCTCAAGTAGGTTTTTTTAAACGGCAATAACCAAAAAACTCGGCCAACTCAACTCGGGCCGTCTGCCAATAATCAGAACCAGTCACTCTTTTTCCACCCCAGAAAAACATTGCACATTGTACCTAATTGTATGAAACCAGCTCACATTGACAAATGAAATGCACTTCATGAAGATCAATCACCTCAGGCAGACGCTAAATGAAAGGTTGACATGAGTAGCTATCATCATCCGGCATTCGGGGCTGAATATTCCAGATCAAGTACTGAAGCACTACTGCAGGTAGGATGGGAGCCCTTTTGTGTCTCCGGAGGGAGGTGTATGGACATATGTCCTTGAGTGATGTCACTCAAGTCAGTCGTTTGGGGCTGAACTTTACAAGAAAGATCCAGAGGTATGGATTAGGAAAGCTACATTAGCAGCAACTCTCCTGACAATGCTTCAGAGAGAATTGCTGGGGGCCAAGTTGCATTGTGGGTAACGTAAGCCGCATTGATTTGGATACTGTTTGTTTTAAACTGTCCTACAACGGAAAAATAGATGGAGGAGCAATCTTTCAAAGCCACGCAAGGCAAAGTTTTGGAATTAAAGACACAGATCAGACTGATCAGTGCCCTGAATAACTTATGTTACCTTTTGCAATACACAATTAAGGACTTTTTCCATTGGTTTACCCTGAGAAACTAGTAAACGTGTAAGGGAGTGATTAGTTCCCTAATGAATTGCGAATAACCCACAATGTTTACCTTTTTTTAAACTCCCCAGAGATTGTCTTTAAACTTTTAACAAAGAACACATTACACGACCACAGTGCGCTGCATTCTTCTTCTGCTAAACCCTTTGGCTCAGCCAGTGGTTTTTTCTTCAGCTGCTGCAAAGATTCAAACCAGTTACACTGGACGAGCGCTCTCCATGTTTGTTTTTTTTAACTGCCAGAACACCGATGCCACCTGTGCAGGGTGTCTCCCTTTTGCGTGAGTGGGTGAAGGTGGATCGGCAATGAAAGAGGTATGGGAATAAGCACTGCGTGAGGAAACACTGTGTATCATTAATTATAAGCAAAGGAATGATCAGGCCATCGCTCTGCTTTTTCAGATAATGATGTTGCTCAATGCACTGGACAAAACAAACACTGTACAGACACAGCCAGGATTTCCCATATATTCCCACACACACACACACACACACACACACACACACACACACACACACACACACACATTTTTTTGAGTTTATATACCAATACATCTTTTCCTAGACTGGGCCGGAGTGGGTATAAAGTTACTCACAGGAGACAACACACAATGGCCTGAAACAAAAGCGTTTTTAACAAACCTATCTTGTTTTTACGTGGAACAGAGGAGGAGGAGGAGTGGGGGGAGAGAAAGCGAGAATGAGTGGGTGGAAAGGGACTGAATCGGAGTGATAAAACACTCACTCACTCACTCACTCACTCACTCACACACTACCTGCCATAGACGATTATGTCCCAGTGCAGCCCCATGTATACATCACAACTGGTTTATTGTGGCACCCTGCGATAGCTTGACACAATGCAGTAGTACATATGGTTTGAGTGTTTGGAGGATTGGGCATTTTGTTCCATGCGGTGTCTCTCCTTGTTTGGTTTAGCAAAACATTGCAGTTGACATTTACTTGACAGACAAAACAACTCTTGAATAGCAACCTGAGTGGACAAAATGTCAACTTTAGTTTCATTCGGGACACCAGTCTCTTGGACAAAAGTCCTGTTTGTTTTGGAATGTTTGAAGTGATGACTGTAACAACCCATTAATCACATGTGTGTTTCCTGTTTTACTTTGACATCAAATCTCCCCTTTCATTTCAGTTCCTGTCCTTGTCTTCCTTCTGATCCGTCATCCACTACACTTGCACTCAATGACCTGCTCCTGGTTTATCCCCCCTGCAAACCCCACATATATACTTTTCGGTTTGGCTGCCAATCTGGCGTTCGCGGCGCATTCACAGTTGTGCAACAGGTAATGTAGTGTGCTTAATTGTTTGTTACCTAAAGGCCTTGGTTGTGTTGGGATGGCCATTACAGCGTGTATAGTATTTTGCAGTGTCTCCCTGTTACAAACCCAATCTTTCCTTTAACGGAATCGGGTTGAGTGTTGCTGCTGGTAGGTTGGACAAATCTTTCTCCTCTTTGAATATTTTAATGAATGAGTGGTTAAGTAATCGGCCGTTTTATTGTAGGCTCTGTGTAGCTGTACTATCGGCACTGCAGGTGTATTGGTGCGAAGCTCCCTGACGGGTATGCATGTATACCAGTGGCATTGCGTGTATGTTCTTAAATCATAAACAGTCATTGAATTTGGTTTGTTTGTGCACGCCGGGTTGTAAAATTGCTTTGCGTGCGCTGGTATCTGCACCAGCCCCTCCCTTCCCTGCCACGCTGCTGTTTTGTCTCCGCTGACTTTGGGTTTCAACTACGTTCAACGGGTTGTAGCTACACAATCTTACTCCAGGCGTTGAACGTCTCTACGCGCCTCACAGCGCCCGGAGCTGTTGCTTAAAGTGTCTGACAGGGCTGTCTGATTGTGACCCGGATGATAGTTTGCCCTTTTTTGGTTTGCCCATGCTTGCTACTATGTGTATGGAGATTGGGGTTTATGTTTATGGGTTTATTTGTTAAATAATGATTTAAGTGTTTTTGGTTTATATTTCTTTTGTTTAAGTTCTGATGAAAAGACTAATTTTTGTTAAGTCTATTATCTGTTAATTTTGGTTATTTTTGTTGGTAGGCTCTAGGCAGCCATTTAAGACACCTTTTTCTGCCTAGATTTGCCTGAGATTAAAGTTGTTTTCATTTATTTTTGGTTTATTGATTTATTTTTCGTCCCAATAATTGGATGTTCTTCTCCCATAGTTGCTGAGTGCCGAAGGTGGTGGTGTCAGTGTCCCCAGGTGGTGGTGTCTCTCTCCCGTGTGCTGTGTTTTCGGCGCAGTGTGCGTGTTTGTGTGTTCACGTGTGATCCTTCCCTGAGACCCCACACCCCATTGACCCTGTCCCTCCACCGATAAGGCCACAGCACTTACTTTCCATATTTAGTAGGTCTGGTATTTTAAATGGTATTTTATATTTTAGTAATTGTATTAAATAAAATCATTGTTGTAACAGAACTATGTCTCTGGCTTCATGCATAAATCGAATCTGTGTGCTTTCTATAGTAAAATCCTATTCTCGGGGTGAAATTCCCCGGGTGGCGTTGCCAGTGTCATCCGTGTTGAGCGGGCCAAAAAGGCACTCAACACCAAAAGAGTTCCACTCGCCACACCTATCTACCCAACCCCATCTCCTGTGTTTTCCTCTACTCTTGAGTCTCTGTCGTGACCCAGACCAGTTACAATGACACTCCCAAAATACCTTTTGACCTTTGATATTATTTTCAGAATCTGTGTGCAGGGACTTTTTCTGTAATTATTAAACCCACAATTATGTAATTTTTTGTGTTTTCGCATTATAATCATTTTCAGCTCTTAGATTATCTATTTTCTGTGTTTTCCTTGTGGATGTTAGTGAGTTGGTGTACTCAATGGGTTTGCTACCTCCTTGGGCTGTGTGTTTGCTGCGTGCACTCTCCTATCAAGGAGCAACAGGGGTCCCCATCTCGTTTACCATGCGTTGTGGGTGTGACACCATTGCCATGTCTTCGCCATTTATAATTTTTCAATTCTTTCAATGTCGTTAATATCTCAAAAAAAGTTGTATAACCATGTCAAGTTGTCAATTTCTTTCACAAAGTATCACGTGTTTGCTCTCTGGATGGAGGATTATACAGGTTTTAAGTTATATTGGATATCATCAGCCTACAATACATACTTTTATGCCTTTTCTTTAAGGTTTTCGGTTCCTGGTTCTTAGAGATGTCCTGGCCCTAATCAGTTCAAACAGCTCACTATACATTTCTCTACACCCCATATACCAGAGAGAGGGGCTGAAAGGCCTAATAATGCCCCATCCACAAAATATTTTGCATTATAAGATGCGAGATAAAAGACTAACTTTGGGCTGAAGAGCATAAGTTTAGTGTATGTGGCAGCAGCTGCTTCATGTTTCTAATGCGAAAAGCCTCATAGGTTATAGGAACAAGAATCATTTTGGTGAGCCTTTCTAGGTGTGTTCATATACATTATCCGAGTACTCAACATTTATACATATCCCCATCGAAAGCTACAGTACATTAGCCACTAGGAGTTTGTGTTGGTGCTTAATCCATCTGATCATTTTTTGATGGGTGTAGAATCTTTTAATGCCCTATGGACAACCAAGACATTGTTTTTGAGACTCATTTGTGGGTTTATCATTCTGATCCCAAGACTACGGGTCTGAAGATGTAAGTTTGCTCACAAACTACAATACTTACCTAATTTGTGCCCACGTTCCTTTATTGACCAATAGAATTAGCAATAATCAGTAAGATAATAAATAACAGGGCACCACCCTGACCTAAATCAAGTCTCTTTATTCATTTGCTTCTCACCGACGCAAGTTTGTCCGGAAAGAAAGAATTTAAAGGAGGGACCTGTTATCACCTCTCATCCCTGAGGCATCTGTGGCCCTCGACCAATCAGATCTCAAGAGAGAGAAATTGCACACAGGTGTGAGGACCAACTTCTTGTGGTGGTTTTCATCCTGTTTCACTTGTTTCACGTCATGGTGGGAGGACAACACTGCCAATGATTTGAGCTGTAAAGTTTTGTGTTCCCTCATCTACTGTGACTCTGTGATATTGTCTATGGAGTAGTACCTTTCACCTGATTGATGGAACTTGTGCACGATCCACACAAAATTGCATGTTTATTCACCAGCTTTTATCCGCTGGTGTAACTTTCCCAGAGATGCCGGCATAGCGCCCCACTACAGTGCAATGATTCAACGATCAGTAGGGATAAGGGTCAAAATCCTTTAAGCCTGTGCAGTCTTTTAAAAAATGATTATGAAAAGCATGACCGTGCCACCATTTTAAACTGCTCTGGCTGGGGATTCAAAAAATGATGAGACAAAGGGACTTAAAAAAAGGAAGGACTGACACACTAACAAGTAAGTTCGTACTTGCATTCGCCGTTCACCCCATTCAACAAAGGACACCTTGCAGCAGAAAGGATGGGATTAAATTCAGCGGTTTATCTTGCTATGAAAATGTAAAGTAAACTCTTACACATGACACAATGGCCTGCCATGAATTCTCTGCACGCAGCGATACGTGTGGGTATGCTTTACTGTAGATAGTGATGATATCCTTGAATTACAGAACCTTCCATGCAAGGAGGCATTTAATCCTCTACGATGTAAAATTAGGATGTAATATGATTAGGGAAGGATGTATTACAACATGATTTCATTTGATGGAGTGGGCTCTACTCAGAGAGAGAGAGAGGACAAAAATGAAAGGTATCTATTCTTCACGGTGGCTTGATGGGATCAAGTTTTTCCATTAACGCTGTGGTGGTGACAGCTTTACAATGCCATCGGTTGGCGCTCAAACTCAACAGAGGGCCCGAGATAAGCGTTTCAGCCTTCTACTCCCTGCATGGATCTCTCTCACGCTCCCCCATTCTCTTCCATTTAAAAGTGGATTTGTGAGGAGGAGATAACGAGACGAGCGAGCACGCCCTCTCTTATTTCCTCTCCCGCTAATTCCTGCTGTTTCTCTCTGCGTGTCTCACCTTGCGTAATCTTAAAGGTTCTTATGTCATGCTACATTCTTACACTGTTGCATTCAGTCAGCAGCCTGCTGCTGAACCCTCTGCCCTTTGGTTTTTGATAACTGTAGTGGAAGACAGGAGATAAGAGAACCGGGTAGTTCCTTGCTGCTAGATCCTAGATGAGTCTCTTCACTGGATTTGCCTCCTGCTTGCTTCTCTTTTGCTATACTATACAAAACTGGCTGAGGATCTGAAGGAGGAAGGACAATGAACCTCCCATTCCCCATCAAAACTTTTCACAAAGGTTTTAGAGTTGAAAGGTTTGAATTAACCCTTCTCTAAATTCCTGCACCTAAACACAGACGCAAAGCTACGTTACTATTGGCCAGCTGCAACCATGAGTCCAACAGCTTCCCGGGTCTACTGCAGAGAATCTCATAAAATCGTTTCAGTTTTGTATTTAATTATCAGGCTGGCTTTGTTGATATAGAGCAAGTCATGGTTAAAAGTTGTGTAACAGTGTTACTTAGTGGTTGGGGCTCCGTAGCCTTTCGAAAACGTAACATTTCTAACCAAAATGTAGTGGAGCTAAATCACATTAGCAAGTTTGTAACAGTGTGGGATCTAGCAGGACTGTTTATAATTGAATGAATTGGATGCAGTGCCATGTACATACTTGATTCCCAGAGGAGGACTCCTAATGACATGAATCCCTGAAGAATTTATGGATTGGAAGGATTACTCTGAAATTTGTTATCAATAAACCTGTTCCCGGGCGGCAGTATATTTTCATAATTACCTTATGGTCTCTGACCCCTGATTTTGGTAAACGGCTCTGTGTGCCTTAACAAGAATGGCCTTGGGCCTATCCAAGTGCCGTTGTTGGACATTGTTATTTCCCTTGAGTGTCATAGGCCACTCGTATTGCCACACTTGTACAGAAAATATGCATGAAGCCCTCAGAACGTTTATTAATGCTGTGCTGGCCCAGTTCATGTCGAGGGTGCACCTTGTTTTCTTTAGATTTATAAAGTTGCACATACACATGATTCTACTTTATAGTTGTTGGAATGCTGCCATAAGGTTACAGCACGGCTTTGCGTCGCACAGCCTCAGGGAGCCGCCTGCCAGTCATGGTGACGTGGATAACTCGAATACAATGAAACATTTTCAAATCGGTCTCCATGTCCAGGGGAAATTCGTGTATCTCAGCATCTGCTTGCGTCTTCACATTAAGTGGATGACAATGACACTTTTTCCATGTGACACTTGGTCATTCAAATCGTGAATTTGTAGACAACATATACGAGAGACATAAGATACTTCACATTTTAAAGAAAGACTAAAAAAATGAATCAAATCAGGAAACATTTATTGCCAAAATATGTCAAACATACAAGGAATTTGTCTTGGCGGTTGGTGCGTGACAGATAGATTGATCATTAACACCAAGCATATGTAATACAGTGCTTTAAAAATTCTGTGAAAAAACAAATCAAGCATTTTAGAAGTCTTTTATATAATACTCAAATTACTGTCCTTACAGTGGTGGTCCCTTACCCTTTAGGCCCCTGACCCATTCATGCCAGGGGTCAACACGCACCAGAAGAAAACAAAAGTTGCGTTAACCGCATTTTATCACGTT